CTAACTGACATCCCAATCCCCAGCCCCGATGCCCTCGGTGGGTGCGATGCTGCAGAGGACCAGCTGCCGTGCCGGCCAGCTCGGCCCCCGCTGCCAAGCCCAGCCGGCACCGGTGCCTTCGGCTAACCTAAGATGGGCTGGAAGGAAGAGGGACGGGACGGTGAAGTTATCGCCACGGAGTCAAGGGGACAATTCCACGACTTGTAAATGTACCTGGAAGCTTGTAAAGGGTAGACCGAAACGTGTTTGCAAATATTTGTTATTTGTCAGCAAACTGGGATTGCTTACCCATTCAGAAGGAAAAAATAAAGGGCCACAAGAGCAACAGAAGACATAGCCAAAAACCTAGCAGGTTTACAAACAGGATTTCCTAGGTTTAAGCTCTGTCGGTGGGGCAACTTTCCTTGTATGAGCAATAACACAATTTCCACCTGCTACGTCAGGTTCAGATATTGCATGTCTAGGGTTTTGTGAAGATTAATTATGTTTATCCACACAGTAGAGTTTTACCAGCTAGCCATGGATTTCCAGGAAGAGAGGTATTTCCTAAGGCACCGTGTAGGGCTCAGAACAGTCCAGTAAATACGCTGATGACTCCCTTGGCTCCGCTCCGTGGGGCATTTCTTAAAGCGCAGTCTTGGAGCACAGTGTTCTTAAACCAAAGCATAAAAATAACCAAAACAGTATCAAGTGAATTGCAGGAGCTGGCAGAATGGAGGTAATAAACAAAGTTAAAGCAGCCTGATAACAATATCCCGTTACCAGAGAAGAATAAGCGATACTCTGTAAAGGTGAAATATAAAAACTTTCTTGTGACAAGGCATCGATTTTCCCAAAAAGGAAAGGGAGAACAAACTGCAGCCGTAATGCAGCATGTGTGAGCACCGAGAGGGTACAATAATGACAACACTGAATAAGTATCTCATCTCCAAAAGCTCGGGCTGCGTGACCTTTAGCAGCGCTCAGGATTGTGTGTCTGTTTAGGATGTCATTAAACAAGACAGGCTTCCTCCAGCTGAACAGTGCGTAGAAGTAATTGGAGCGGTTTTGAAGAGCTAGATTCCAGACTAGCTAGTTAATGAACTTGGAAAAGCTACATGCCAGTAAGAAACTCAACACAAAAAATTAGTTTTGGGTAATAGCTCTTTCCTCTGTGTTCAAGTCAGTAACCTGGTTTCCATGGCATGCCTAGTACAGGTCCGAGTGGTCCCAGTGCCTGGTGTGCTACAGAGCCGAGGGCAGGATGTGAATGAATTTAAGGCAAATTTAGATCAACTGGAATAATCTTTAGGATCTTGGTAGCTGAGCTCATGGTGAGGTGCTAAGGGCGGTGTTATGAGCATGTCTCTCATGGCTGGGTAAGTTATGAGTGGCATTTGAAAGCCACTCTATAGAGTAGAAGAAAGAGAGTGAAGAACTGTAAGGTAGCTTGAAGACTGACATTAATTACCCACTAATTTTCTAGCTGTGATCCATGAAATACTTGTTGCTGATCCCCAGACAGATGGCTAGTCACATAGGACGGGCTTCTCCTCTTTATTTCCATCTGCTATGTTTCATTAAGACAGCTAAAAATAAAAATATCCCTAATGTTATTTTTCCATGTAAGTTACTGCTACAGCGATCTGATGCGACTGTGAATAGAAGAGTTTCCAAGCGACAAGAGTTTCTTAATTAATTTGTGATCCTTGGCATAAAAAGTGACTGCGAACCCCTACACTAGACTCATCACAAGCACCACCCTTACTTCTAAGTGCTATTTATCTAGAAGAGTCAGTTAAAAACAATTTTTTCTTGTATAAGGGGAGAAAAGAGGCTGCTGTCTCTTCTGAGCAGTAGTTACCATTTTTAGGTTCTAACCAGTTGAGATGGCGCCTACGAAATGGAGATGTAATCACAGAGATCCTTCAGGCATGAAGTCTTCTTTCCCTCCATGTAGCAGGAATATCTCCAGAAACAGCTTTTCTGCACAGCTCCAAGCCTCTTTTCGGCCAGCACAGTGCCCAAAAGGCCCCTTGCGGGGAGTGGGTCATTTTTGGGAGGTGGTTTGGTTCTGTCTTTCACAGATTTTTTGGCTCTATCTAACGTGTCTTTGTGTGTGGTGAAGCTGGGTTCTTGCACACACAGCTCTACCAATTTCAGCGTTTAGTTCCTGATGTATTAGAATATTCTCCAGGGAAGCTAAGGTCCCCTCGATCCAGATTGCAATTTACTTATTTTCCAAAAGGGACAAAAGCCTGAAACATGTAAGCGTTGATAATCTTTTCTAGTCCTTCCATGCTTTTCCCACACATCTTTTCACAGGGACAGAAACTCTCCCTTATTTCACGATGAAGAAGTTTTAGCACGTTTTAAACAAGGAAAGTTTAAACAAGCCCCAAAGTGCGTGCAGAAACAGGGAGCAGGCAGCCCAGCAGAAGCAGCTTGGTGTGATGAGGAGCTCCAGGGACTTGGCTAACGCTTGGACTCCAGAACCTCAGATGAAATCTGGGACTGATATCTTAGACCTGGGCCATTTTTATTCTCAACTACACAAGCCATTGCCACAGACCTCCTGAATGGCAATCGTGGATGCTATGAGAGAAGAACTCTATTACTTCACCCTACTTTTAAAAGTCTAAAGCAAGCGTGCTATTTCAGACAACACAACTCAAAGTGCCACTAGTACTATGTCTTAGTAACACTGCCTACAACACAGGCGAGAACCTTTGTTCTCACCCCTCCTTTATTAGATGCTTCTGCTTAGAAAAGCAAGCAATTTCCTCACCCTCCTGGCAACGTTCCGACGAGGAATTTCCTCCTCCCAAGCCGTAGCCACGGAGCCAGTCATACAGTCCCTCCTTCTCTCCGATCACGCCGTTTTCCCATTTGTTTGGGCTCTTGCCGCTCACCCCGGCCCATCACCCCAGGAGAACCTTTGGCTCCGTTCTTGTGCCCGTTCTCCCTCCTGCAAGAGCAGTTATTTGAGTTCCACCCTAAGATCACACTGACTTAGGCCCCAGTTTAGCAAAGAATTTTATCACATGCTTAAGTGTAATTGACTTAGACCTTCAATCTGTTTTTAGCTTATCAGAAGCGTGGGTGGGTAAAGCCGTCATCCTCTTACGCACTCTTGGCTCCCATGGAGGTTGGCCGTTGATCAGCAAAGAGTATATGTGCATAAAATTGAGCAGAAACTCAGATAAGGAGGACTGCTGAACTGGACTCCATCCAGCATGGTGGCATGTCTTTTAAGACCTAATTATCTTCACACAACACTGCAGAGGTGTCAGCTCCATGGCTGTGACACACGGCAGGTTATTGGGTACTTCTACCCCAACTCACCACCGCTGCATAGTAATTAAACTTTGGGTAGGCTGTGCCTTGCTCAAACTTTGCCTCAGATATTAGGAATCCTGACTAAGGACTTCAGGATTAATTCTTAAACTTAGGAGCAGAGAATGTGGCTACGGTTGGCAGAAAGCAATGATTGCCTCCAGTCCAGAAAAAAAATAATCCAGTAATACTAGAGTCGGCATTTTATTCTGCTTAAACCACAGTGAAGTTGGATGCAGTAGCACCTCCTTTTCCTGTAGGGCCTCATCAGATCAGCACAAGGCTTAATGACAATAGCTAAAGAAACAGAAAGACACCATGGATTTCGCTTAGCCACTTATAACTTTTACCGTCAAAGTCTGGCATATTTAATTCAGATCACATAAAAATTCCAGTGGTGAAGGGTGGAGAAAATTGAATGTTGAATGAAGACTTTTGTTTTCCTGAACAGAGCTGAAATGAAGAAGAAGCTGGGTTGTGATGATCAGATTTCTCCTATAGGTCAGAAGTTCAATGTATCATCAGATTTCATGTCATGGGGCTGTTCTGTTCCTAATTGCAACCAGCCAGGACTCTGCACATCAGTGAGCTTTTACCCTGGGCTCCTTCCATAAGACATATATTGTATTCAAAGTAGTAACTAAATCATTTTAAATGTATTTTTAAGAGTGAATCATTACCTTTCAATTCTACAACACAGCAGAAAATTAAATTCGATGTTGGCTTACGTTCATATAAAATATAAAAACCGATACTTAACTGGGTCATTGGTACAGCAAGTTTATTTTGCACAAATTTAATGCAAGCATTAAGCTATGAACCTCTGGTAGCTATGATCTCAGATTCAAAGGTATCCGGAACCTCACAGGGATAGAGGAACCAAAACCCTGAGAAACGTGGTCCAAGGGCCCAGGCCCCAACCCCAAACTGTGGAGGAGGGATGAAATATGGTTGAGCTGAGCTGAGTTCGTGCAGTAGGTGAGAAGGGGATCTGTGCAAGCAGCACTCTGCAGCACAGGTCCTGAGCGATCCCACTGCATAACTAAATGAATTATTTATACATCTCAGGGAGAGAAGCTATAGCCACATCTCAAGCTGAAATAAAAAAAAACAGCTTAGCACTTAGCTGATGACTGACTTTCTGAATAATTTAAATTCGTCGGAGACATCAATGGTGGACTAGCGTGACTGCCCATGGACATCCGTTCATCTGCAGAATTAAATGAGACAGAGCGAGCGTGTGAGCTGTTTGGCCAGCCAAATCACAAGAGTAAATTATGACAGAGGAACACGAGCTGTTACACAAGGATGATGAGGGGCAATGACTGAGAATCAAGTTGGGGTATCTCATGTTAATCCAACAGCTAATGAAGGTTAACCTACCGACCCTAAAACAACCGTACATTGTGTATGTCTTCTGCAGAGCGCCTTTCAGCACACCTCTGCTTTAAGAAACCCCTGTCTCATGCGGCGATTAACTGTCAGAGAGGTTTTATCCTTCCTACATCCAGGACAGACCATCTTGTGACCTGCAACGCACTCTCTCCTTAATAAATCATCTTCTAAACATTTTCACACTGAAAATAGGGCTTCCGCGGGTTTCAGCATGCTCTGGTTTCCCATGTTAGGAAGAATAAGGCTTTTGCTGGTGCTGTAGGACAGCTTTGAGATGTAGCCTTGGAGAATAGTGCCAGCCAAGAGGAGCAGGACTGCACAGAAGACGCGTCTGTGTTCCTCGGATGCTATGAATTTCTCCTAAAGCCAAGAAACCTGAAACTGCAGTGGCAAGTCAGACTTCCTCTCGAGATGGAGTCGAGGCAGGCTAATTTTAGTCACCATGCACTATGCAAATCATCATTCTGTAGCTGAGTTTATTTTTTAAAGTGCTGACTGCCAAACTTGCTGCGGGGCATAGACTGTTCATACGGGTCTTAAAGAGGTTTGAAACCAGCTCTTTGGTTAGCGGTGCGACATTGCAGATGAAGGGGGGGGTGCTCAAAAGGGCCCTGCTAGAAAGCAGACTTTCAATAGGGAAGGTCTAGATGACCGGTTTAGATCATATATTGATTTTCTAACTGGCCAGAATTAGCTGTTAGTGGATTTTTGCAATATGTTTTTGGTTCTACATGTAATTTTTCTTTTTCCTTGAAAACTCCCCTGATAAGCTGCACACCGTGGGCCCGCAGGAGATGATGGGAGTGCTGGTATCTGGATCACGCCCAATATCTGTAGATAAAGGAAGCAGATCACTGCTGGGTTTTAGATTTATTATCTAAATATTTGGCACATTCAGAGAGTTCACTTTTAACTGGGATTGATCTGAATTCCTAGGAAAGAAGTAATTCTTTAAAAAATTATTATTAGTCTGTGATTCATGGCAGATACGGGGAATGCAGAGCAGCAGAAGCAAGGCAAGATACACTTCCAGGAAGCCCAGGCTTTAGCACAGGCAGTAAATTGTTACATTTCTCTTCAATATTAAAAAGATTTAGCATGTGGACTTTGATCTGATAACTTTCATAATGTCTCTATCACAAGTTATACTATGACCGAGTACTTCTTTGTATTTAAAAGAAACGACTCTCCGTTATTTCTTACCGACATATCATAGACAGCATCAGAAACTTTCCTTTCTTAATTTTAAGAATAACCACTTCCAGGTCTGATGTCTTCCCCATAACCTTCAAGGCCTTTATCCATCCAAGCAGGTCTGCCTGGAGCTGAGTTTGGAAAGGCACTTTGAATCCTGAACTCAAAAATGAGGCGGGAGAGTAAAAGCAGGAGCTAGTTTTCAAGTGTGAAATTATTTTAAAAGGCGCTCTTATGTTCTGTGGCTGATCTTGAATCTTTAACATAAGTGCTTTGGATCTGGGGCTCGAACCCTAGTGAGTGGTCGGAATTTCTCCTTGAAATCTGCTGCGGGCTTTAGGGGGGACTTGGAGAAAAAAATGTGCGTAGCAGAATCTAATTTAGATATGGAAGCTGTGGACTATCCCATTGCATTTGGGCATGCAGAGGCACTGCCGCTGTATTCCTCCGAACGCAGGGAGCTGCTGCACTGCACATTTATTTCCATTTACGCGAACAATCTGCCTATTTTGTAAGAGTCCAGCCGTGCTCAGACAAAGACACTACCAAGGTGAAAACAAGTAACTGCAGGACCGCGTATACGACGTGCGGCAGCTCCCCAGCCATTGGAAGGGTGGGACTGGGGAAAAATATCTTTTCCACCGTAAAAGCCCGGGACAATCCAAGTGGAATCCAGCTCCCCTCCCCGGGGACAGGCGAGGCAGCCGGGCGGCCGCTGGATGTCACTGGCTCTGCGCGGAGGCCGGCGCAGCCCGCGGCGGGGCTGGGAGGGGATGCTGGCAGGAGAGGGCTCTCTGGGGGGGCTGAAGGACACGCGGGTGGACACGATTCACCTGCTTAATTCGCAGGTTCTTCCTAAAAACGTACCTCCCGTGGAAGTGGAGCCGTGTCCCAAATCTAACACCAGGGAGCAATAGCCTCTGCAGAGATGAATGGTGAGCTTGTGCTGCTGGGCGCTTCGCCCGGAGGAGCAGACACGCTTGCCTTTCAGCGTGGCTACGCTCTATTTTTGTACATTTTCTGTGTCATTTCATCGCCCCTCAGCTTCATATTAAATCTGACCTTTCTACTGCACTTGACTGGGGAAAGGTAATCACCTACTTTGCTTTCTTTGGGGTTATACATCATTGCATATGGCAGGTAGATAAGTGTATCTGGAAAATATGGTTGCATGTGAGACTAGGCAGGAAAAAATATCTGCGAGTAGGTCAGGATCCACTTGAAGACCTGCCAGACCTGCCTGAGCGCAAATATATTTTTCAAGCTGGATATTTAACTCCCACTGGCCCCTGTGAAAACTCAGTGATTGCGGAAAATCTTCTTTTGCTTTGAACAGTGGAGAGAGATTTCAGTTCCCCCTTGCACACTGCTACAGAAAGGCCCTGAGCGAGCACAGTTAGGCTTCTGTGATTTATGATGTTACCAAGAGTTGGGAAGTTACGAAGGAGTATTTCAGGTTTCATACAGTGGCTAGAGATGGATCTAAATACACCATTGTGCAACCCTCGGACTGGAACGGAGACTGCGTGTTGCACCAAATGAACATCACTCAAAAGGAGTTTAATACCTAAGTGCAGTCACAAGCATCAGGGCTTCCCAGGGGACAACGATAACCTCACACGAACAGCCCTGTTAGAGCACCCTTACAGGAACTTCAGGGACCTCTCCTAACTAACACAACCATAAGCTGCACGCATCTAGTGAGGATTTGATCTGTTGGCTACTGAAGATATTATTTGCTGTAACACAGTGACAATTCTGAAATGATGGCAACGCTAATGCAGCGGGAAAGGTGTGGGAACACGGTGTGGCTGCCATTTAGGTCAAGCAGTAAATAGCTTTCTTACAGCTGTGTCTATTTGATATGTCCAGGAGCAGAGTAAAAGAGCCTGCACTGTGCTCAGTGTTGCTACAACTGCTTATTCTTTATCTGTATCTTGATACGATGCCATCCAGAGGTACCTGGATATTCAGGATACAACCCCTAATGAGTGACAGGGGGGACGAGGGTCAGTAACCGCAAATGCAAGGGCAGGGCTCCCACCGGCTTGGGGTTTGAAACCCCTTAATTAAGGTGAAGGAAACGCCTTGGTGTCACAGCTTGTTCTACTCATTTTACTCGTGT